TGTTACAGTATTTCTCAGGTTCATCTTTCTCAAGTTGATGACAGCCCCTCAGCTGGACTCCCTGTCTCTCTGCTTCAGGTGGTCTGGTATTTAGGCTGCTGGCTGAATGGTCCTCAAATATGACTTTGGTCATGTCACTCCCTGCTCAAGAACCACAAGAGCCCCTCATTAACTGCCAAGTCAAGTCTCAACTCCTCTGCCTAGCTTCCAGGCGCTCCGTAATCGGACCCCTCCCTAAGCGACATGACAGCCGTCTTAATATATTTGAAGGACTGTCAGAGAGAAGAGGGATTAGTGCGATTCCCTGCTCCTCCAGCAGGCAAGGGAGCTATAATAGGTCGAAATTACAGGGAGACCTAAATGCCTCAATGTTTCTATGTGAATGTGAGTGGTGGGAATGGAGGGGAACGTGGTGGTGGTGTAAATGTTGCACTCATGGAATACTATGTGCATCCCCCACAGAACTTGCTGGTTGAAGGTGGCAGGAAATAGCAACATATTGCACACCAGTCTGAACACCAGTCATGTGAAGTTTCTGATACTTTAGAATATTGCTTATTGAAAGGTTCCTGGGTGGGACAAATGGTTGGCTCTCAGCTACTAACCTAAAGGTTGGCAGTTCAAATCCAGCCAGTAGAGCCACGGAAGAAAGGCCTGGCAATTTGCTTCTGTAAGAAAACCCTTTGGATGCAGTTCTAGTCTAAAACACGTGGCGTCTCCATGAGTCGGAATCGACTCCACGGCAATGGGTTTGGTTGTGGGTTTTATTGGTCGCTGTGCCTCCTAAATTAGTGAGTAAAGAAAACAAAGGAAGACCTTTTTATTTTCAAGGAAATAGATGATTGTTGGTGTGGTAGTTTGGGGCTAGAGAGATTGGCAGGGGCTCTGGTGGCATAGTGCCTAAGGCATTTGACTGCTAACCAGAAGGCTGGTGATTCAAACCCACCAAATCCACTTCCATAGTGATACTGCTCGGCAACCCAAGGAGGGGTGGCTATGAGTCAGATCCAAGTCGACAGCAGTGAGTTTGGTTTTTGGTGAATTATGTAAAGTCTTCATCAAGGTGAGGAATTTGGCCTTTGTTCTAAAAGCAACAGAAACAAGGGAATGACACTATCCCCAAGTGGAAGCAGAAGGTCACGAAGAACAAACTTTCTAACAGGTGGGGCTTTGGAGCAATGACGTGGATGGCCTGGTTCAGCAGTGAACTCCCAGGCTTAGGAGCAGTGGGTGTGGAACTCCTGCAGGGGATGCTGTAGAGTCGGTTTGGCCTCCAGGAAGGATGTGAGGTGACTTCTAAGAACACTCCAGAACCCTGCTACCCCTAACATTCTCCATGACCAGCCTAATAGGCACCATCCCCCTAATCAGCATTTTGGTCTCCAGTCAGGAGCCCTTCAATGCCTGCCACGAGGTGGCGCCAAACTGAGGCTCCTGACGCTCAACCGTCTTTTTACACCCACCCTGTTGTTGTTGTTGTTGTTGTTGTTATGTGCCGTCGAGTCGGCTCCGACTCATAGCGACTCCTCCTTCGGTTTCCGAGGCAGTATCACTACGGAAGTAGGATTGCCCAACCTTCCTTCAGAGGAGTGGCTGGTGGGTTTGAACCGCCAGCCGTCTGGTTAGCAGGCAAGTGTCTTAGCCACTATGCTACCAGAGCTCCTTACTCTCCATTTTACCACTCCAAATTTACCGACCACAGCAATGTTTCTGATAAATTACTATAAAGGTGCAAGAGGGGACTAATTGAGTAAGTTATTCTACATAATGCACACAATGACATGTTGTATGGCCACTTACACCAAGGTGTTGGAAAAAATATTTCATGATATGGAAAGATGGACATCACATACTGCCATGTGAAAGAAGCTGATTGCAAAGGGTAAGGTCTCATTCTTTAAAAATTAACAAAAAATATTTATGTGCAGAAAAATACTAGACGATATATACATCAAAACTTGTCACATTCTCTAGGAAATGAGATTGGAGGTATTTTCCTTTTATCCTGTTTTCTAAATTGTATACAATTTGGATTTCATTTTTTATTGGCTTCTTCAAATGTATTTTATTTAATCTACTGTTCATCCCAGCCACCCTCTTCCCCTATAACTCTGGCCTACACTTATCTCACCTTTTTCTGTCTCATTGCTGGTTCTGCATAATCCAGTACATGGTTATACAGTCTTGAGTTGTTACAAAATGCTTCATTCATGTTGATCTTGTCTCTCAAATCAAGAAGTTTTCTCTGGCAAAGTAGTGATATATTTTCTGCTGTTTCTCCATCACATAGCATTGTGCAGAGGTCAGTCCCTTGATGGAGGCTTGATATTGGATTGTCTCATGGTACCACATAACCTCTGTGGCTTTCCAGAGAGACCCTGGACCTGGGGCAAAATCCCATGGCACTCCTGGGTCTGGTGTGTTCCATGGGATTGGACCTCCTCACCCAGGGGTCCAAGCAGTGGCATCCCAGACTGCTCGACCTTAGGACATTACTCTGACCCCCTCTCTGGTGACTGGGCCAAGATGTCTGCAGAACCTGATGCCTGTCCACATCCCAAACTAACTGTCCTCCTGTAGCTATAGCACAATTGAAGTTTGGACGGTCACTCTTGTATACTTTTCTCATTATTAGTAAATATCATTAGAGCTGAGGAGTCTCTAGTAAATGTTATTTTACTTGGAAGCTAACTGACATCCTATTCTTTAAAAATGTGCCTTATTGCCATGGTGCCTACCATGTGCCAGTACTAAGCCAGTCATTAGCTCTTTGAAGCTGAATGCAAGGACCAGGGCTGGGGAGCAAGCCATTCTTTGGTTCTCTTGCTTAGCCAAGTTGGGAGGCAGCTACTTTCTTTTTACTAACAAACCCTCTGATATCACCTCTGTGATAACCACCATCACAGTCTTCACCCTGCAGGCGATTCAAACTCCAGTGACCACTATGATCACCTCTTTTCCATCACTAAATCAGAGGGACAGCATAGCTGAAACAGTAACATTGAGAACAGGAAACCCTGCTGTTCTCTTGAGTTTTTTTCCAGGGCATTTGGGGATAGGTCTCCCGAGATAGCTGAAGGGTGGTCGGATGGGAGGTGGATGAGAATTGTTCTCTAACCAAATCCTGTTGTTTCTACGAGTCTAACATCACTCCTCGGAAGGAAGGTTGGGCAATCCTACTTCCGTAGTGATACTGCCTCGGAAACCCAAGGAGGGGTCGCTATGAGTCGGGGCCGACTCGACGGCACGTAACAACAACAACAACAACAACATCACTCCAGCTGGCACTTGGCTCCACCTCCTTTTCCTCCCTCAGTTCAGACCACCATGCGTCTTGCCTGGAACCTGAGCAGCCTCCTACTGGTCTGCCTGCCTGCCTGGTCTTGCCCCTCTCATCCCTTCCTCAGAGCACCCAAGTGTTGTTTAAATTGTAAATGTGATCACACCACACGTGTGCAGAAAGCCTTGTAATATTTCTGCGCTGCCTTCAGGATAAACTCTAACCTTGATACTGCCTTTTAAGACCCAGCCCCTGCTTAGCTTTCCAGCTGCATGCCTTGCCCCGGCTGTTTCAGCCTTGCAGAATCCTTTGCACACAGAACCCTAAACATGCCTTATTCTTTCCTACCTCCAGGGCTTTGCCTTCCCCTGTACACCTAGCTAGCATCTTACCTGCCCTTCAGGAGTGACCTCAGAGGTCACTTCTTCCAAAAGCCCTGACCCCAGTCACCCAAGGCTAGGCTGGGTATCCTTATGTTCTCAAGAGTACTCTAGGCTTAGTCCATCATCTTGCTTGTCATTACATCCTGTACCTGTCTCTTACTGTATCTTTCTCTCCAGACAGTAAGCTTCTTGAGGACTGGGATTGTTTTATCATTGTATCCTCAGTACCAGTGTCTGACACATAGAAACACTCAACAGTTACTGAATGGATAAATGACAAAAGACTTAACAAGGACAGAAATTTAGAGCTGTGGACTTCATTCTATGTACTGAAGAACTTTCTAGCATCTGGTGATATTGAAAAGAGTAACAGACTGACCCACAAAGCACGTAAAAGCGCTGCCCACCCCCGGCCCTAATTCTCCAAGCAGAGGCTTAGTAGTCACGGGGCAGGGGATGCATTTCCTCTCTGCAGGAAGGTACAATTTGACTCACTTTTGGGGTCAAAAGGGCTAGGCAAAAAACATCAGTGGTAACCAAGGGTGTGTGGGAGGGAGGGGAAAAGAAGGACCCCTCACAGCCTCTTCTGACCATCCGTGCTTGTACAACAGACACCTGCACTGGCCACTTCATGGATGTTGTGAGAACCAAGTAAAACAGCGTTTGTAATATAATTTACCACACATTGTTCAAGGCTTGCAGTTATTCACTGAATAACTTCAGTTTTGTGACTACATTACAAAACAAAGTCCCTGTGTGGAAACTTTTACTGCTGCAGGCAGAACTGAGAATTAAGAGCAGAGAGCTCTTCCAACCAGTTCTGTTCTGCACCACCGCCCACTGCTGTAGGGAAGAGGAAACTGTGGGGATCAAGAGCATACACTGAGCTGGGATTATCAAAGGCCCGCTGTTCCTGCCATCGGGGAGACTTCTGGGAGCTTATCACTAAAACAAGGGGAATCGGGCCCCCAAAGCCTTAAATCACCATCAAAATCTGCCAGGAGAAAAAAACGACACATATTCAATAAATCTTCTCCTTTGGATCCCTTAAGGAGCTCTAGTGGTGTAGTTGTTAAAGAATTCAGCTGCTAACCAAAAGGTCAGTGGTTCAAACCCACAAGCTGCTCCGTGGGAGAAAGATGAGGCAGTCTGTTTCCACAGTGATTTACAGCCTTGGAAATCCTGTGGGGGAGTTCTACTCTGTCCTTCCTATAGGAGCTATGAGTCGGGATCCACTCGGTGGCAGTGGGCTTGGGTTGTGGGTCCCTTGATTAAAGCAGAATCAAGGAGAGCTGAAGGCATTTCACTTCCCCTTTGGCAAGACAAACCCAATTAAGCCACTTAATTTAAAGACTTTTTATTAGGAACCAGGGCAATGAGCTGCTTATCCCTCTGTAACAGTCTAGAGCAGGTCACCAGACCCAGGATGGAGAGAGGCCCTCACAGGTGCCGCGCTGTGCTTTGCTGCACTTGCTTAGGGCCTGGAAGGAAAGGTGGCAGCCACGGAGGCTGGCAGGAACCGGTGTGAAAACACCAACAGCCTGGGCAGATCCCTCCCCCTTCCTTCGGCCTCCAGGCGAGGCCGGAGCACGCTGGAGACCGAGGACGTGCTAGAGCGGTGGCTGCGGCGTCGCCGGGCCCCTGGCCCCTGGCCCCGTTCAGTGCCACTTCACTTGCCCGCTCTCCACTCTTCTTGCCGTTTAGTGATCAGGTATTTGAAGAACTCATACACAGACCATGCGATGGCTGTGGAGGGGATCTGGTAAATGACTCTAGCCTGCACCCCTCGGAAGTAGGCGGTCACTCCACCTACTTGATACACCGTCCTGAAGGCACTAGCCATGCCTGTGATGTGTCCTGTAAAGTTTGAGTTCAAAGCCAGGGATTCCTGGGTGTTGAGCAGTGTCTTGCAAACGTCCAGCGGGGTTGTGGCAGCGGCAGCTACAGCTCCCGCACAGGCTCCAGAGAGGACGTGGGAGCTGGGGTTGTACCGTCTCTGGGGGTTAAAGTGCTCCTGCAGGAATTCATAGGTCATGAAGTGAATGGCTTGGAAGGGAACATTCATGGCTAGCTGGGTGGTGTAGCTGCGGTAAAAGGCTCCGGCCCCTTCCTTCTGCCACACTGCCCGCACACAGTCTGTCACTCGGTGGTATGGCGAGTTGTACATCTGCATTCTCTGCTTGACCACTGGAGGTGCCGTCAACGAGGGCGGAAACAGCAATAGCGTCCAACGGGCGAGCAGGTGCCACATCCAGTCCCGGGTCCGCAGATCAGCCAGCGGAGCGGAGAGAGAAAAGGAAATGCACGTGAGCTGCCAATCAACCTGGTGGGTTAGGGTTCCCTTTTCTGAGAGGTGGGGCAGGTAGACGGTTGGTAAAGAGCCAAACAATAATGGAGCCACTTCTAGTAAGATTTAAGACTGGCCAATTAACACACAAAAAATCTATGGTTTGGATTTCAAAGCATCTCCTGAAATAAGTACCTATCGTTATTTTACCCTTTCAGAACTCCTAAGACAAGAAATGTTTCAATGGCATTACGTATCAATGAACATATAACAGTAACAAGCCAATCCTTGGGTACTAAGAGTACTTAACTCTTAAGATGTAAGGTGGTTATCCTCCCAGAGAGAGAAGGCTCAAGTTTGGATTTAGCTTCCAAACCTCTCCCACTCCGTCAGTCAAGGCCGTCACTGGCCTGAGCTCGCCTCTGGCTCTTTCCACCCCACATCCTTATGAGGCGGGCAAAGCAGAATATGAGGAACATGGTGAATATGCTATGCCCCCCGTATTTGTGGGCTTGACCCGCATTCTCAAGACTCCTCCAACTGGAGAGCCAAGATCCAGGCAGAAATGCAGGGACAGAAGTCCCTTTCATCTCAACTGTGTTTATTCCCATTAAACAGCTAATGTTCTAAAACATCACAATCCATCTGCACTTCTCTGGAAACAACGAAATAATCCTGCTGAACTTTCAGCAGAAATCACATCCACCACAAAGGAGGCATACATCCCAGTCAGCCCAGGAGCAGGCTAAGGAGAGCCGTTATCTTTTTTGAGAGAAGCCCCAAAGATGAATGAAATGCCAGTGAATATGTTTCCTATCCCAGGGACTCCTCCAAAGGAGCGACAACATGGAGAGAATGCCCTCTAGTGGTCAAACGGAGTAACACAAGCAGGGTTTCCCACCAACACTGACGGGGTTCTCCCTGGCTTTCTGCTGCAAACCAGAAGGAAGAGCCGAGACACAAACGTAGCTGCTTCCGGAGGGAAAGGCTGAGGAGTCATTACCTTCCGCTGGATTCATGGCTGCATCGTGAAGTAATGTTGCTACACACCCAGCTGCACCTGCAAATGAGAAAACAACTGCCACATGTGAGGCCAGGAGGGGCTTACTCACTGAGGCTCTGGAGCGAACGGGAGTGGCTATGCTAAACTGTAGCAAACGGGGTGTCAGGAGCCAATCCCAAACACGGAAGCCCACTGGTCCCACAAGCTCGTTCCAGGAAATGGTATTTGTTCCCACCAACTTAGTACGGTCACCAGTGTACATTCCTTATCTGATAAGAAGGCCAGGAAGAGTCAAAGAACCAGCCCAGATTTTATCAATAAAGATAGCACTGGGAACAAATGCAGTCATGCCCCAGAGGAAGCGGACACAGCTGCCAAGGGACGCGGGCACAGCAACCGCCCCCGGCGAGGGCTGACCTCAGGCAGGGAGACCACCAGGGTCAGGGTCAGAGCTCCACCAAGGGCCCTCACTTTCCATCTGCTGCCCCTAGACTGCCCAACTCATCTCTAAATCCTGACATCTGTCCATCTAGACCTTTCCTTTAGTTCCTGAACCACTCGATTCCTCACTTTTTCCATTCAGTTTTAAAGCCCTGGCTTGCTATCCCTTCCCTCACTTCCACACAGCCTCGAACCCTCAGGCTTCTCCATGCAGAAGTCCCTTGTTGTTCGCCCCCCGCCCCCCAATGCTTGTTGAGGCCTTCTCATGTCCTCAGTGACATAAACTGACTCTGGTTCAGCTGGGATCCTGAAAAGGTGAGGTGAAGAGCTGGGGCTCCATGAGCGCGTCTTCCTTGGGCGGCTGGGTCACCTCAGATCCTGCCCTGAGGAGCAGGACACCACCTGGCTATCAAGGAACACACCACGAGGGTAGTTCAGCGTGCCTCCACATTACCACGGCATTAGGAGTTGATGCCAAGGAGAAGATGAGAGCAAAGAGACGAGCTGGTAGGTAAGGGAGGTTATCGTAACCCTTTGTTGAGGTGCCCCAAAAGAGAGTTGGGGTTGAAGCAGCCCACTGCCCGAGAACATCAGGCTTGGAGGTCCCTCCCCTAAAACCTGGCCTCCCCCAGCCCAAACACTTCCGATCCAAACCATGCTGAGACTGGAAAGCATTGACAGTAGCAAAAGCCTGAAGAGTTGGGGAAGTGGGGAACGGCACAGGAAGGCTCAATACCATTGGCAATATGGCTATTGCCCCCAGGGTGGATTACATCACTCAATGTCTTTTTTAACTTTTCGTAGCAGGCAAAATAGAGGGCGTGGGCAGGCCCTGCGCCTGTCGCTGTGACATTCAGCCCCCGCATGGGCCTCCACAGGCCCTCCGTTCTTATAATCCTCCAGAGGGCCTCCAACACATTGCGATAGCGAGCGGCTGGGTCAGGCTGTAGGCTCTGCATCCGGGTCTGAAATTACAGCAAGAAGAGCAATGTCAGTGATGCTAATTTCTTGCCCAGCCTCAACACTTAGGATTTGGGCACTGGGCAGACCTTGTCCATGGAACCATGCAGATGTGACACTTGGCATCCAGCTTTAGTTCTTTCCAGATCTATATCCAATCGCTCCAAACCTCGGGGCTTTCTTTTTCTAGTCGTCGTCCCCCCCCCGGCTTTTTCTAGTTATCTAGTGACCCCAAGGGTGGAACACCATTACTCTCCAGAGAACATCACAGTTTTGTAGGTATCCTTGAACTCCACGATGAGTCAAAGCCCCAGAGCAAACATCAAGCACGTGTTTTGGGAAAACTAGCTTCTGTCCTTTAATAAACTCAGGCTAAGAAGTTTTTACAAATGAATTCTAAATTCAAAGTATTTACTGGTTGTCTACCACATACTTTGTGCTTTATTTCTGAAGACCGATCCTGGGTCTGCTTCCTGACCAGAATGAGAGGAAGGCTCATTCTTGAACACTTTCTCAGCCCATCTGGCACTGGCAGCTGGGTCTGTAGGTCAGAGTCTTGACAGAGGCAGCACCCCTAACAGACACTGCTCTCAAGCACTGGGAAAGAAAACGCCCCCTGAAATGACGTCCAGCTGGAAGCTAACCTAGTCTTGAAAACTCAAGAGACTTCCAGATTTCTGATCTTAGCGGACCAAATAAAAAACTGCCATCAGCAAAAAAAAAAAAAAAAACCCGACCAGTCTCATAAACAATGTTTGGAATCTGAAGGGCTCAATAATGTGAGCAAGTGTGTGGGAGATACACTGTATGACGATTCTAGGCAAAGTTTTGTTGAAATCTGGGAAACTGAAGACTTCTGACTACTGATCCATTTCAAGGTTAGAGTAGCCAGAGACGAATGGTTAATATAAAAGCTCTGGTGGCATAGTGCCTAAGGCACTTGACTGCTAACCAGAAGGCTGGTGGTTCAAACTCACCAGCCACTCCTCGAAAGAAGGTTGGCCAATCTACTTCCGTAGTGATACTGCCACCTCAGAAACCCAAGGAAGGGTTGCTATGAGTGGGTCGACTCAAGGGCAAATAACAACACTGTCTCACACAGAATACCCAAAAAACCAAACTCACTGACATCAAGTCGGATCCGACTCATAGCAACCCCTCCTTGGGTTTCTGAGGCGGTGGTATCACTACGGAAGTAGACTGCCCAACCTCCTTCCGAGGAGTGGCTGGTGGGTTTGAACCGCCAGCCTTCTGGTTAGCACTCAAGTACCTTAGGCACTACAGAATAAGCACTCAAAATCTGTTTGCCAGATGAATGAATGAACTTTTTGTTACACAACTGTGCTTGCATCAGTTTAGAGAGTAACAAGTAGAGGGTCATTAGTGACCCAATAAGGGCAACTGGTGCCCAACCACAGCTTAAATTCCTACTTCATTCCAATCACTGGATTCAGTCTGGATTTAAAAAAATGTGAATCTTCCTGGTGGCCATCTGCAAGCCAGGAGTAATGCCTCTTCTCAAGAGCTTGGGAGAAAAGAAACTAACCAGATTAACAGGTCTTGGTTGGCCGCAAGCAATCCACATTCCTCTAGAGTTATTTTCTCCTGATACCAACAAAGAACTGGAAGCTTAGAAGGTAAATTACTGTCAGTCCAATCAGAAATGCGCAGGATCACTTACCACAGTTTGACACATTCTTTTCTATTTTTCAAAATAAACAAACCTCATGGATTTCCAATAAAGAGTGTCCTGACTGATCTTCTACATTACCCCAAAAAACAAACTCACTGCCACTGAGTCGATTCCCACTCACAGCGACCCTACAGAACAGAGCAGAACTACCCCATTGGGTTTCCAAGGTTGTAAATCTTTACAGAAGTAGATTGCCTCATCTTCCTCCCGCAGAGCAGCTGGTCTGTTTGAACGGCTGACCTGGTTAGCAGCCAAATACCTTACCCACTGTGCCACCAGTATAAATTCCGTCACAGGAGTTATTTGAAGAGATCAGTGGTCTTTGCTGGATATTGCTACTCATAAACAAAAGACAGACTGGGCCTGACGGGTTAGCAATTGTGTGCTTCCACAGGTTTGCTCAAAATCGTGTGTATGTGGTGTGGAGAAATCTGTCAGAAAGTGCATTGCTGTACTGAGTCAACAGCTTATTGAGGTAACGTCTTGAAAGGTCTGGCCTTGGAGGCCTGGAGCCCTTCACTCCCAAGAGAAAAATGGGCTGTGGGAAGTTACTTTGAACATTTTACATACCTACCTATATTATTATTATTATTACTACTATTATTATAATTACTTAACTTTGCTTTAAGGAGCTCTGGTGGTACAATGATTAAGGCACTTGACTGCAAACCAAAAGGTTGGTGGTTTAAACCCATCAGCCACTATTGGAATAAAGATGAGGCAGCCTGCTTGCATAAAGATTTACAGCCTTGGCAACATGGGGGTCGCTGTGAGTCACAATCGGCTTGACGGCAGTGACCTGTATCTAACAATTCCAACTCAATGAAGATACTCCCTTATGGAGAGAACTCATAAGCTACGCCCAAAATAAAGATAAATATGGCTCCCTGAACTTGTGAGCTAATAAACCTATCTTTCACAGAAAGAGGAAATCACTAAGTAAGAATTTGAAAAATCTTGAGGAGTTCAATACTAAACCACTGCCTGGCTTTGGGGAAAAGCCCAACTGAATAGTCAGGAGGTAAGTGGTTCAGTAAAAGACAAGCCACAGTTGAGTAAGAAAGCCTGGGCTTGAGCCCCAGCTTTGCTCCACTGTGGCCTCAGGTAAGTCACTTTACCTCTCTGTGCTTCCATGCTGTCCTCTGTAACATGAGGTTAAGGATGGCTGGCTCAAAGGGCTATTGTGGAGATTAAAAGAGCACATGTGAAAGCCAGTGGTAACTTATCAGGTGCTATAAATACAAGGCTTGGTATTTTATTAAAATACGATTCTCGGAGATAGTAGTTCCTATCTTAGAATTCACAGACCATGGCAGCATTTCACAAATAACACATGTAACTCTGTATCCTGGTCCCTAACCACTAACACATGAGCATTAATCATGTGCAGTGAAGCCCGTGTGGGCCAGAACACGACACGACTGCCTTGTTTCTCCAGGTCTTTTAAATTTTCTGCCTTTGACTGGGTGCACTTTTCCATTGCTCTTTATTAGCATAAAATATTTGCGATTTCCTTCTCTGACAGATTCTAGCTTTCAGGGGTTTTACTGTATTTTTTTTGTTTGCTTTCATGTTAAAGTTTCTCTGTAACAATAATGGTTTACATGTTCAGCTATTTTTCTGAAGGTCGTAAGTTCAGGAACAAGCTCCATTATGAAATTCTGTGTCTTGCTTGGCTGCTGAAATCTGCTTTTGGGAGGCAGTATGGGAGATGAGAGTCAGACAGACTGGGTTCATTCAAATCACGACTTTGACACTTAAAACCCTGTGACTGGACAAGTTATTTGACCGCTCTCTAAGCCTGCTTTCCTTCATCTGTAAGATAATGCAAACAGTGTCCACCTCATGAAGTTGTTTCATGGATTACATGAATAAGGAACTTCAGGTAACGCTTGGCATATAAGAACAGCCATTAACTGAATACTTAATATTATTATTATTACTAGATGCAAGAAAAAAAAAGCTAACGTTTCCATTTTCTAACCTTTACTGGTGGTTAGATAACCACCACCATTTGTTGCTGTTCTCAGGTGCCGTCAAGTCGGCTCTGACTCCTAGCAACCCTACAAACAGAATGAAACACAGCCCAGACCTGCACCAGCCTCACAATCTTTGCTATACCTGAGCCCATCACTGCAACCATTTTGTCAGTCCATCTCGTTGAGGGCCTTCCCTTTTTGGAGTTTGGAAAAGACTTACCTCCCTTTGTTTGTTCCCTAACTTATCATGTAAATAGATATTGCTTCCTCGTTCGTTACAGAGCTAAAAGGCAGCACCTGGGACAGGCAGGTGCCCTGGTGGGACAGTGGGTAAAGCCCTCAGCTGCCAACCCAAAGGCCGGCAGTTACGCCCACCAGCTGCTCTGTGGGAGGAAGGTCTGGCAGTCTGCGTCTATAAAGATCACAGCCTTGGAAACCCTATGGGCACTCTATCCCACAGGGTCACTGAGTCAGAGTCCACTTGACGGCAGTGGGTTGGGGTGTTTTTGGCTTGGTGACAGGTGGTACTGAGCCACATGATGCTGAGAAAAGTCCCGGCTGCTCTGGGTTTGCAGAGCCTTGTCCCTATAGATAAAGCCTGGGGACTGTCTCTGAAGCGTAGGAAAAAGAAACAGGGACGGACCTGGACCCCCACACCTCCTGTTATGACCATGGGAACAGCTGGCTGAATAAGCAGGGCCTGGCAACGCTATACAGGTGCCCTGGTGGCACAGTGGCTAGGCACTCAGCCCCAAATCAAGAGACGGGGGATTCACACCCACCAACCACCCAGCAGGAGAAAGATGTGCAGTCTGCTTCCTTGAAGTTTTACAAGCTTGGAAACCCTATGGGGCAGTTTTACTCTGTCCTACAGGGCTGCTCGGAAACCCAAGGAGGGATTTCCAACTGGATTGGATCCAACTGGAAGGCAGTGAGTTTTGGTTTTACAGGGTTGCAATAAGGAGCTCTAAGGGAGCTCTGGTGGCGTAGTGCCTAAGACATTTGACTGCTAACCAGAAGGCTGGAGGTTCAAACCCATCAGCCACTCCCCGGAAGGAAGACTGGACAGTCTACTTCCATAGAGATACCACCTTGGAAACCCACGGAGAGGTCGCCATGAGTCGGATCCAACTCCACGGCAGTGAGTTTTTTTGTTTTATAGGGAGCTCTGATGGAGTAATGCCTAAGGCATTTGACTGCTGACCAAAAGGTTGGTGGTTCAAATCCACCAGTCACTCTGTGGAAGGCAGACTGGGCAATCTACTTCCATAAAGATTTACTGCCTCAGAAACCCAAAGGGGGCTGCCTATGAGTCAGAATCCACTCGATGGCGTGGGTTTGGTTTTTTTGTTGTTGTTGATAGGGTTGCTATGGATCAGAATCCACTCATGGCAATGAGTTTGGTTTTTTTGGTTCTAGCAAGGCTATGCAGACTTCCCATGGTCCTTCACAAGGATATTTTAAGTCAGCTTGACCCTGATAAGTGCCTGGGGGAGGCACAGGCCTGCGGGCTAAGAGGCAATGCCAGCTTTCCTTTGCAAACACCACTGTGGATGCCCTTTAGCCTCCAACACAGATACCTGCCTCCAGTCCTGGGGTAGGGTTGGGGTCCTCTTCTTCTGCACCATTCACTTCTAGTAAAAAAGAAAGCATAGCTGCTGGGGGGACAGGGGAGGGATGAGTGAACTGGGAAGCCCTTTCTGAAGGAAGGGCTTGAAGGCATGACTGTAATGTAGTATGACTAATTTTTTAAAAAACAAAAATTCCAAAGCTTATATAAATGAATAAGAACTGTTTTCAGAACTGTTCTAATCTTGGGAGGCTACGAGTGACATATTCTAGCAATGCTGCAGTTATTCAAACCATTTCTGGAACTCCACTTTCAGGAGTGTTCCTCACAGGCCTCAGGCGTCAAACAGCCTCCTTGCTTTCCCATCCCACCTTACCTCTGACCCCAAGCACTATTACCCACGTTCATCTTCCACCTTATTTTACCCGCTTCGACTCTGAATGGTCTCAGTCACAAAAAAACCAATGTCATTTTATCACAGGAAAAAGGTTTTCTTCATTAAAGCTGTATGGCCAAATATTCTAGGGGCATTTCTAACAGAAGAATTTAAAAATGTTTACAGCAACATTATTATGTAAACATATGGAATAAGATAGGAATAAGACAGCTTCCTCAGGTAACTACAGTAAAAGGAACGACACTTATATTAATAAATCTATATTAAAATCGTAGTAACATGTATAAATCTGTCTTATTATTACATGGTATTTTTCAAGCTATTAAATACTTTTCACTGCTTTCCCTGATCTGTTTTTTGATACACATCCTGAAACATAGCACCTTAGACCCTGCACTGTATTCACAGTCTTAGTGAGGTTACTTTACAGTTAGATCATACTAACTTTTGAATGTATATCATTATTCATTCACAGTCATTCAACCTAGAGTCTGTTACATAAACGCCTGAATCTTTTTACTTTTTCCTTTTACATTTCAATATTACAGCACTGATCATCCTCTTACCAGTCAGGGATATAATTGTTCATTTCTATTTCTCTCAATTAACAAGGGCATTTAAAATTCTAATGTCCATTTTGATCAAGTGCATTTCCCACATTGTCAATGCCCTTTTCAGGAGCTACCTTACAATAAACTAGAATACTCCTGCCAACTCAAGGTCATTCACAAAGCTTAGTGGGCACTCTCCCCATTGCCTCATCCACATTATGAATGAAAACATGACTGGTACTGGAACCAGGGGGAAACAGGAGAGAGAGATCAACTTGGCTGTTTCCCAAGTTGATACTCTCCTCCCTTTGATTAGATAACATTTTCCTAGTTTAAAAGGAAACATACATCAAAGAACTGTCCAGGATAATTTGACTATCATCACCCTTAACGTGTAAAGGAGGTGACAATCTCAGTCACTGAATTCTTTCAACAGCTCCCTCCCGTTTCTCTCTCTCATTCAATTTAATCCTCACTTTTAGTGACTGGTACCTTTGCTGATACTCAAGAGTAAAAACTGTAAAGGACATAAACCCGTCCCCCTCTTCACTCAGCTCTTTCAGAAGGACCTGACTTGTATACCCATTAATCAGCCTGCTTGGCTGGGGATGGAATTAGTTTCACACAAACTATATCCTCATGCTGATCCCATTCCACTTTCTTCGCACTTATTTCTACTTTCCACTACTCTCTCTTCCTTTTTAGGCAACTTCTCTGTTTTTGTCACCTTCAGGTGGCCAAAGAAATACAGCAGCAGTTCCATCTCTCTTGTTTTGGGGTCGAAGTGCTTCCTGCCATACACAGTCCTAATCCCAGCTCAGTTTTCTTGTTCAGGAAATAGGTGGGGTGTCATGTTCACTGCACAGAGAAACCGAAACCTTTTCCTGAAAACGGTCTTTCCCATGTAATTTCCAGTCTGGAACTGAACTCATGCACAACGGTTTCTAATCACTCGTGGGCTAAGGTTTAATATGAAAAGCCCTGATCTAGCTGACAGCCCATATTGGGGTTCCTGTCTCCTCACTTTTAAGGAAAGACACAAGAAGCTGCTAAAAGTACTTGCCCAAGAACATGTCAAGCCATCAAGAGCTTATTCAAGATCTGATTCATGCCACTTGGTTTTACTTTAATCGAGTCGGTAGCACTTACCTGCGTTTACCCCATCCCACCCTACTCCTGTTTAATCCCGGCTGGGATCCAAGGCTTTGGCTGACAGATTTTCGATCCCGGGTCCCGATTCAGATCTCACGGCCGGTTAGAAATGGGTCCTGGTTCCTAACTGGGATCGACTCCCAGCCGGGACTTCGCTTGCATGGTCTATCAGTTCGAATCATGCGGTGATAGCAGGAGCCAGGAAGGAACCCATGTCAGCTCCAGCTCCCAGCCGGGATCCTGGCTACGCACAGGACCCAGGGGTCGAGTCAGCCCCAGGTCGGGTTCGGAGCCCAGTCCAGGTCTCACCTTGACGCAGTCGATGGGGTACATCACGCAGTGCTCCAGGATCCCTGCCACGGCGCCCGCCACCATGTGCGTGGTGACAGTGGCTCCAGCAGGCAGCGCCTCGTAGTCGGGGTCGGAGTCTGGATCCTGCCGTACTGGGGGCCTGCAGGCCCCGGCCTCCCCGCCGCCGGCCCCCCGGCCCACGCCCCTCTGCAGCCACCCGTCCAGCAGCGCCGACTCCCCGGGGCTCCGCCCCGGCCCAGCTGCCGGCGCCCCCGCCACACCGCCGGCACCCCGCCCCTCCAACTCCATCCACCCGGGCCAGCTGCGGCACCCACCCCCGCCGCCGCTGCCGCCGCCGCCCCCCGGCCCCGTCTCGTCCGCCTCAGGCGCGGCCCAGAGAGTCCGGGGCCTCCGGCTCCCGCTTGGCCCCCGCGGCTACGCCCCCTCCGCCAACCATTGGTGCAGCCGCTAAGTTATCCCCACCCCCTGTCCTACGTAGGAAAAATTTTTCCGTGGTATTAGTGAAGTTACCCGTCTTTCTTCCTAGATCCCACCTCTTCCCCTTTGATCTTGCAAGCTTCTTGTTTATTGGCTACTGATAGGCCAACATCTAAGATTAGCCCGCCTCCGACTTTTTTTGGGGGGCGGGAGAAACTTAGGCTGAACTTTGATAGGCTAAACCACTCTAGCTACTTTAACCGCGGCCATTGGCTCGCACCACGTCGGTATACGATTGGCTGCAGAAAGCAAGCTAGCCACCCGAGGGAGAAAGAAGCCGGGTTTGGGCACCTTATTGGCGCTTGTGGAGCTGCAGGCGCTGCAGGCGGGATAGTTTGTGGGGCGGTGCCAGGCCTTCAAGGTCAAACCATCGACGGGTGCTGTTAGGACCCGTGCTTGTGTGGCCACCCCTAATCCCAAGACGGCTGCTCGCAGTCTGGCTGCCCGGCGAGAGCGCTGTTCCCGCGGGATCTCATGGCTGATGTCAGGCGGAGCCAGTTTGGGATGAGCATCCCTTGGGGTGGCCCGCGTGCCAGTCCGGGCAGCAGTTACCACAGGCGGGCCAAGGCCGTCTCACCACCAGGGAGGTCTGCTGCAGCCTGTTACACATTCTGGTGGTGCTTAGAGTATTGGCCCCTCAGGCCGCTCGCGGACTCCTTGCGTGCTCCTCCGACCCCGGCGCCCGGCACTGGGCCTTGCACCCAAAGGCGCTGAGTAAACCCCGCAGTTGAATGAATGAGTTCTCCCAGTCCCCGGCTGTCTCTGGGCCCTGTGCCAGGCGGAGAGCTGGAGGCGGCGAAGGGAAATGTCGAAATGGGGCGGGACGATTCAGAGATGACGACAGGTGGAGAAGCCTGGCTGGAGGCAGCATCCCAAACAGCAGGGAAAGTATGGCAGCTGGTGAAAAGCGAACATACGACTTGTCCTGGATCTGAAACGTCAGCATCTTATCTCTGAGCTGACTCACTGACAATCCTCCACTGACTGGTGATGATTGCTTTTTGTGATAAGACCGCTCTTCTCCCGGTCGGTCGACTGAAGTCTGATAAGGGCGCTAACTCGTGGAAGAACAATGCCAGCAATTATTAGTGTCAGGACCAGGACCACCTCCTGGAAGGTGACGTTACACTGGGGCCGCGCGCTGCACAGAGACGCCCCCAGCAACGCTCAATCCGCAGCTTCGGGTGAGGAATACAAGCTTCTTTAGTCTTTCACTGGAGCATGTTTACGCAAGCCTCCCGTTTCCAGCTCTGCTGTTAACCACCTATTTTACCGACATGATGATGCAATTCTGAACTTTCCCATCTGTTTGTATCTTTTCCTTAATAACAAAGAAAATAGAAAAAAGTAAAAGCAACAAAGAATCAGAGACAGGCTAAGCTTTAGAGAGAAAAAGGGAACCTCTTTCTCACCTATTCTCTTCCTTTTCAGCCGTGCTTCTTAACCTCTGGGTCTTGACCTTTTGGAAAAATAAGGAAGCTACAAACCCTCTTCTCCTTCACCCTCTTGCACACCCAAAATTTTGCATATGATTTCTGAGTTGGCTGAGCCCCTAAAGGTAAGCTCAGGTCAAGAACCTCCCTCAACAGCATGTGTTCAGTCTGCCCTCTCCTCTAGCTCATTTCCTTGAAGAAATGATTAAGTCCTCCAGAATGAAATGCATCCAACCCTGCTAGAGTACGTTGCCCCTTACTGCCAGTAGACTCCAGTAATGACCTACGCCTACTGGGTCCTTTCCCTCCTCAGCCCTCACACTTTTTCCCTTCTTTATTCAGTGATCACAAATGACCTTTCCAAATCCATTTCTTTTCTTATTCACTTAAAAACAAAAAAAAAGATTTTTTTTTTTTTGTTTTTAACCCTTGCGCCTGTAGACCCATCCCTCATTGAAACTTTGTCCTAGGTTCAGGAAACACTCTATTCCACCTTTTAGGCTTTGCAATCTCATACATTTCTGTAACCACTGACGTTTGATGCTTTTCCTAGTTTTTCTTTATTTCCTTGAAGAACTTTGCCATTCCAAATTTTTCTTCCTTGGAGCCTCATTTGTATTTCCCACATTGCATGCTTTCTAACAGAAATTTTCATTCATTCCATTGCATTCAGTAAATATTTCTTTAGTACCAAGTCTGTGCCTGACTGGGGGATACAGGACAGACAGAGCCCATGCTTTCATGGAACCTGCATTTTAATGGGGGTTGGGCAGTAAGAGGGAGCTTTGGTGGTGCTGTGGTTAAAGCATTGGGCTACTGACCAAAAGGCTGACAGTTTGAACCCATCAGCTGCGCTGTGTGAGGAAGATGAGGCAGGCTGCTTCTGTACAGATTTACAGTCTTGGGAACCCTTTGAGGGCAGTTCTGCTCTGTCCTATAGGGTTGCTGTGAGTTGGAATCGACTCAACGGCAGCGGGTTTGGTTTTTGGTTTGGGACGTAAGAGAAATAAGGAAAATATCAGATAGCTGTAGGTGCTGTGCTGATGATTGAAATAGGACAGTGGCTGGTTACATTGGTTTGCTCAGGGAAGACCTCTGAGGAGATGACAGGAGCCAGTCATGACAGATCCAGAGAAAAGTATTCCAGCAGAGGAAACACTAAGTACAACAACCCTGAGATGGGACAAAAGTCTGTGTATTAAAGAACAGAAAGATAGTCAGTGTGGCTGGAATATGGTGAGTGTGTGTGTGGGTGTGGGGGGTGATGCAAGATGAGATAAGAGAGACACAGGGGGTTAAATATTCACCTAATTTCTAACTCAGCATGTCCATTCCAAACTCATCCTTTCCACTCTCTACCCGAACCAATTCCTTCAATATTTTCCTTTTCTGCAGAAGTCTTCAGTGTTTGCTCAGTCAACCAGACTCTAAAGCCAAGAATCTTCCTTAACTACCCTCTCCTCGAATCTCAGTATATGTCAGTTATTATTCTGAAGTGTTTTTGTGTTCATTCTTTCCCTTTCCATCAGTATTTTTAGAAGTTGATCACTTTACATCTGTATTATTGTAATAATCCCTGAGAGGCCTCCCTTTCTCCAGTGTCCCTTGGCTTCACCAATATTTTGATTCCCTCCTTCCAGGAATATGTAGTCTTCTTCTTCCTACTTCTTTGAAATTAAATTAGGCATGGCCATGGAACTTGATTTGACCAGCGAAATTTGAGAGAAGCATGAGAGACTCACATGTTCCTTCCCCTGGCACAGTGACTCAGCCTCTGGCCATAGGTGAAGATGGTAGGAAGCAGAGTTCCCTACTTGCCTCCCCTTTTCTCCCAAATGGACTTGCAGCATGAATAAGAAATATACCTTTGTTGTTTCAAGACATGGAGATTTTAGGTTTATTTCATACCACAGCAAAATCTACCCCAGTGTTGATCAAACTTGAATGGATGAATCAATCACCTGAATAACTTTAAAATGAAGATTCTAATTCTGTAACTCTGCATTTCTGACAAGCTTCCAGGTGATGCTGATGCTGCTCTATCTTAAACCACTCTTTGAGTAGCAACACCCTAAACCATACCAACTGTCTGATACATCGCCATCGAAACACACACACACACACAATTCTACATCTCCCTAGCACCGAAATCTTCCTTAAAAACAAACAAATTAACAAGCATCATTCTTGTCAATACTCTTTAAATTCCCAGTAGAATTTCCTACACCTACAACTCTTTAGTCAAGCTCCGTAGTCTTACTCTCTTGTGTTCCCAGGATCATTATTTTCCTCATTCTCACTTCACTTCTTGTCATGTTCTTCTCTACATCTTTCTTCATGTTTGTGGTGGAGACTACTAGTTGTCTAAATATCCTCTCTTTTCTTTGGGTAATTGAAACCCAAAGATTTACCTTGGGCAGATGACTTCTCAGTTAAAGTCCGTATTTTCTTCAGCTTTCCTTGAAGCTAGTTTTAGCTGCATGACTAACTTCTAGCTACTGGGATGTGAGTTGAACTGATATGTGAAACATCTCATTGTTTCTTTAAAAGGAAAGGGTATGTCCTCTTCTTTTCCGTTTTCTCTCTTCTCATCAGCTACAATACATACGTAGAAGATGTCAACCATTTTTGGCCACGAAGACAAGGGGTATCCCTTAGCAGGTAGCAGAGCAAAAAAGATAGAAGAAATCTACATCTTTAATATCACACATCTGCTTTATCAACTTTGGACTACCAGTGCTTAAGCTGGTCCATGAGAGAGCTTGTGTAAGCTTTGGCTGTTAATCTGAATCTTTGTTATAGCAGCTGAATTTGTATTCCAGCCAACACATGCTGTTCCTTAGAATGCCTTTCTCCCTTTTTTTGTATCAAAATTCTCATTCTTGAAGGTCCAGTACAGGTCCCACTACTCCCTCCAGCTTCTGTTAACCATCTTTCCTTGAACTACCATCATCTGTTACTGACCTGAGGTATGAGTGTAGTAGCCATACATGAAAATAAGGGTGGTTTCTATACAGTCACTTAAAAAGAAACTGATCCCCAAATTGTGAAGAATAGACCGTAAGTGCTATTGGAATTCAAAGACAGAGGCAATCAATCAAGACTGAAGGGATGAGGAGATGTTATATAATTTCAGTAGCTTTCAAACTGGAAAATATGTACAAGAAGACTTTCCAAGGAATACGTGGGAAATAATGGCTTTCAAGGGAATCAGTATCTGTTCTTCATCTGCATCTATTCTCTCCTAAAGCTCATCTTCCTGAAAAAGAAGTTGAGACAGTCCTCGTTTCCCACCTTCCCTTTCTTAATCTCTCCAACCACCTTACAAAAGAAAGGTATACCCTCACCCATCCTTCATCCATTGCCCTGGTGCACAAAAACTACTAGATGTCAAACGGTCCTGATGTTAGCAAGATACAGCTGTAGACGTCTTACCTTTCCTGACTTACACATGTTTCTGTTAAGGGTAAAACATGACTTTGCTGATGTTAGTTACTGTTGAGTCACTCCAACTCATGCTGGCCTTCTATATAACAGAAGGAAACACTGCCTGTGCCGTTTCCATGATCTTTTATATGGTTGTGTCCATTCTTGTGGAGCCATTGTGTCAATCCATCTCATTGAGAGTTTTCTTTTCCACTGACCCTCTGCCAAACATGATGTCCTTTTCTACTGATAGGTCTTTCTTGATGACATATCCAAAGTAAGCAAGCTGAGGTTTTACTATCCTCACTTCTAAGGGGCATTCTCGTTGTATTTCCTCTCAAATCGATTTGCTCATTCTTCTGGCAGTCCATGGTATACTCAATATTCTTTGCTAGCACCACACTTCTAATGCATCAGTTCTTCTGTCTTCCTTTTTCATTGTCCAGCTCTCACATGTTTATGAGGTGATGGAGCTCTGGTAGTGTAGTGCCTAAGGCATTTGACTGCTAACCAGAAGGCTGGCGGTTCAAACCCACTAGCCACTCCTCAGAAAAAAAGGTTGGGCAATCTACTTCCATAATGATACTGCCTCAAAAACCCAAGGAGGGGTCGCTATGAGTTGGATCTGACTTGACAGCAGTGAGGGTTTTTGAGTCTACCACACCTTAGTCATCAAAGTGGCATCTTTCTTCTTTTAAAACTTTAAAGAGATCTTTTGCAGTGGATTTTCCTAATGTAATACATCGTTTGATTTCTTGACTGGTGCTTCCATGGACATCGATCCAAGTAAAATGAAATAGTTGATAACCTTAATGCTTTATTTTCCATTATCATGATATTGTTTATCGGTCCATTGGTAAAGATTTTTGTTTCATTCATAATCCATACTAAAGACTGGATTCTTTGATCTTCATCAATAATTGCTTTAAGTCATCTTCATTATTTATTTATTTATTTATTTATTTATTTTTAGTCATCTTCATTTTAGCAAGCAAGGTTGTATCTTACGCATATTACATACACATTGTCAATGAGTCTTCCTCCAATCCTGATGCCACATTCTTCTACCTATAGTCCGC